AAGGAACAGTCCTACTGGGGATGTGCCTGTGGGCCTCGAGCCTCATGCTGGGCGCTGTCCACCTGCCAGGGGCCCTGAGGCAGGGGAGGCGTCACGCGTGGCCCGACCTGGCCCTGCCTCTCCCTTCCCCGCCGGGCCCGCGTCCCATCCCGTCTCCTTCCGCCTCCGCCAGCGCCGAGGAATGTGGCGAGGCCGGCTGGGCGGCTCGGACGCCTGGGTCCCCTCCGCTCCCAGTTTGTGAGCGCTGAGTGCTGGGGCCAGATGCCGGAGCTCCCGCCGCGGGGACGTGGGAGAGGGGGAGAAGGCATCCTCAGATTGGGGGCTGTGGCAGGGACCCCACGGACAGGGAGCTGGGGGCGACCGCTCTTCGAGGACCCATCGTCATTACCCTGCCACTCAAGACAGAACTCTCGGCCCTCCCTGGTGAGGCTCCTGGGGAATTCCGGAGGGGATGGTGAGGGACACGGCTCCCCGGTTTTGTGGAATCTCCCCGTGGGGAAACTGAGGCTCGTTGGTCTGGAAGACCTCCAATTCATGACGTCCCCTCCCCGATTCCCCTGCACACCGGCAACCAGACTCCCGTGTGCTATGGCCTGGGTCAGGCTCCCATCCCCCACTCAGGGGTCCCCAGCAGGCCCGGTGGCTCGGTGCCCGGGTGGGGCGGGCTGCGCCGCTGGGGCCGGCGCCAGCACCTGGCGGAGGCGGAGGGCGGATAAATATAGAGGGGGGTGGAGGGAGGGAAGCAGGGGACGGCGATTAGGGGAGTTGGTCTAAGAGAGTGGTCAGCACCTGCCCCCGTGGTGGTGTGGCTAAGAACTCCTTTTAGACCCTCCAGAAAATAGGTTGATCTGTCACTCAGGAAGGCACAGGACCCAGGCGTCCCCAAGCTTCCAGCCTGGACAGGGTCGGCAGTGTGAACCACGCCATTGCCTCGCTCATGCTCCACCTCCACCCCCCTCCACTGAGCTTGGGGACAGGTGTCCCTGCCTCCCCCACCTCCCCCTCCTGGCTTTAGCAGTGTGGGAGCAAAGGGACGATGGCACCGTTCCTGCCTGACCTGGCTCCTGGACGGATTTTGGCCTCTCTCAGACCCCAGTCTACAGTTGAAGTTCCAGGACAAGGGGGAGAAGGGCAAAATCCTGAGCTGCATCTCCCCTGGAGAGCCTGTGCCACTTTCCAGCCTGCCCTTCCCGAGCCCCAGCAAAGGGGGAGGGTCTGCTTACCATTGAGTCTGAGGGGTGTCTATGGAAGGGCAAAAGTAGTTCTTGGAGAAAGCCCTATACTGAAAAAGTCCTTCTTCCCTTCATCCACTTCTGTGCCCACCACCTGCCTGCCTGCCAGCCAATGAAGGGAAAATGAGGAGGAGGGGGTGACTTCCAGCAAGAAGAAACTTCACCCACCTCTCTCTTTTCAAAGATGGGGAAGCCAAGGCTCAAAGGCTCTGCCGACTTGTGAAGGTTCCACAGCCAGTTAGTGATTCGAGTTAGTGGTCAGGCTGTTACTAGAACCCAGGTCTCCCCACTCCCTGCACAGTGTTCTTTCCACTGTATCCCGCCCTGATTTAAGTCTTCAAAGGGAAACGGAGACAAGGCGGGAGGCTTCGCTTCTTAGCTCGGGCAGTTCTGTAGAGACTGGAAGAAGGGGCGACCTTCAGCTTCTACTCGCTCCCTCACAGTCATGACCCTACTCCTTGATTCCTCAATTCCCTGAGCAGCGCTGTCCTGGGGGCAGAAGCCACCGGCATCCTGCGATGACGGCTCTGATCCTGAGGGCTGCCCCCGCCTGTTTCCCCAGGGCCCCTTGGACGTGACGCTGACTCAGCCGGTGAGGAGCGGGCCAGCCTCTGACAGGTGAGCTCGGCCCTGAGTCTCGTGGTCTGGAGACCCCAGCCCGTTCCCGGGACCCCAATCCTCGCCGTCTGCCCTCCCGCAGTTGTGCAATAAGGGAGAGGCCTTACGCCGGACGCTGTGGTTTGGCCGGGGTCCCGGGGGGGCGGTCCGACTGGGGGCGCGGGGAGAAAGGGGGGGGGTCTGGGCTATTTCTGGTGCGAGGTCAGAACGGCCCAGCGGTTCCCACAGCCTGGGGGAGGGGTGTCCCGGCGCTTGCAGTCTGGGGAGCCCCGACTGAGGAGCCCCCTGGAGGCGGGGTGCAGGACCGACAGCCTCGCCCAACCCTCCCTCCCCTCTGGCCCAGGCTGCAGAGCTGGGAGGAGACGCGAAGTCTCATCCCAGAGAAGGGGCCGCCGGAGGAGGACCCGGACGTCGTGGTGAAAGGTGGGGACCCTTCCACTCTGGAAGCCCCAATCCCAACCCTCCAGGGGATAGTGTCTTCTCCTACTCACCTCCTTTCCTTCCCTCTTCTGCCCTCCAGGTTGGCTGTACCGAGAGCCCCGCGGAGGAGGGGCGCGGCCCTGGTTGCCCCCGCGCCGGGCCTGGTTCGTGCTCACCAGGGACTCGCTGGATCAGTTCAGCAGCAGCGGGAAGGGGGCGCGGCGCCTCGGGAGCCTCGTGCTCACCAGCTTGTGCTCGGTGACCGGCCCGGAGCGCCGACCCAAAGAGACCGGTGAGACTTCGTGGGGACTCTTGTACCTCCCTGGGCAGCAGCCCCGCCGGCCCTAATTGCCCTCCGCGGGCTCTTTTTCCCCAGGTCTGTGGTCAGTGACCGTGTCTGGCCGGAAGCACAGCATCCGGCTCTGCTCCCCACGCCAGGCTGAGGCGGAGCGCTGGGGGGTGGCGTTGCGAGAAGTGATCGCCTCCAAGGCACCACTGGAGACCCCTACCCAGCTGCTGCTTAGAGACATTCAGGTGTGAAAGAAGGGACTTCGTCGAGAAAGAGGAGGGTGGTGAATCCAGAAGCTGTCTGAGTTCATAGAGAGCCCCCTTTCCCATCCCTGTGACTCCTTAACTTCTAGGAGAGTTGTGGGGATCCGGAAGCTGTGGCCCTTATTTACCGACGGAACCCAATTCTGAGGCACACCAGTGGGGCCTTGTACGCTCCACTCCTGCCCCTGCCCTACGGTGTCAGCGCCCCAGGTGAGTGGTGCCATGGCCCAAGTCCCTTGGATGGGGAATCTGAATGCCTCACTTGACAGGGACTTAGAAGTCCAAAGCAAACCTAGCCCCTCACTTTTCCAAGGATGAAGGTGAAAATAGAAGCTGACCAAACTGATACCCAGGGTGGAGGAGAGGGAAGCCAGTACAGGAAAAGAGGCTCCCTTTGACCACCTTCCCTGTGGGTCTCATTCTGCCTACTGATATTCCTTCATGAGTTTTTACACTCTCTGTCCTATTTTTCAGTATACTCTTAAGACCATGTCATACCGCCTTTACAACTGCTGGACAGGCCAGAACTTTGGGACAATGTGCTGGCCTCATTCAGCTACACCTCTTCCCCAAAAGGAATAGTGACTAGTCAGGTCCTAAAGCTAGAAGATTAAGGAGGGCTGGGAGACAAACCCTTGTTTCAGAACTCCCAGTCCAGCCTGTTTTCTAGTTCATGGTGATGGCTCTTAGTGCCCAATTGCAGAATCTGGGGTTTGAGCCTATTTCTTTTAGTCAACCCCTGTAGCTCACAAACTCAGAGAGCAGCCTCAGTGGATCCCGAGGTGGAGATGCCTGGGAGGTAGGGGTTGAGAGCTTGGCTCTGTGGGGACCATTGCTTTCCCTTCACTCTTCCTGTCGTTCGAACTCTCCCCTCCTTGCCATCCCCTGTCCCCTTATATTCCCTCTGACCTTTCCCTGGTTCATGCCTTCCTTCCAGGGCCCAGCTCTGTGTCCCCTCTCCAAACCGTCCCTCCACCCCCACCCTCCCACAGGTCCGGGCTACGCACCCTTGCGCGAGGAGGCGGTGCGGCTGTTCCTGGCGCTGCAGGCGCTGGAGGGGGCGCGGCGCCCCGGGCCCCTGATGCAGGGTGTGCTCCAAACCTGCCGGGACCTGCCTGCGCTCCGCGACGAGCTCTTCCTGCAGCTGGCTAAGCAGACCTCGGGCCCCGCAGGCCCCCCTGGGCCCCCAGCTACCCAAGACCCCGCAGCCCTTCGGTACTGGCAGCTCCTCACCTGCATGAGCTGCACCTTCCGGCCTGGGGGAGCTGTGAGGGGGCACCTCCTGGGGCATCTGGAAAGGTGAGAGGGGAGGGGTGGGGTAAGGCCAAGGCAAGGGAGCTGACAGGGCTGGGAGAGAATGAGAGGCCTTGCCAAATTGTTTGGTGGAGGGAGAATTTAGGCCCAGCGAAGGGAAGAGACTTGACCGCTGCTAATATGTACACCGTCTCTGTGGGAATTAAAGATCTGATCCCACTTTTGGTGGGAGGAATTAGAAAAGGCGCCCCCTTTGGGCAGAAGAATTACTAAAGGCTGCTTTTCCTCGGGGCTGAGGCAGCCAGTTGCAAAGCGGAATGAGGCTGGATTTTGGATTCCAACCCGAAGGACGATCGTGGAGACTTTGGGAAGTGGGAGGGGGCAGTGAGGAGCAAGCTGTCAGGGCCTTAGAAAATAATTCAGATCCACGTGGTGCGCCAAGGGTAGATCCAGAAGAGAGAGGGTCGCTGCCTTCAAGGAACTTAGAGTTGGAAGGAAGGGAACCGATTAGATGAAAGAAACGATAAAATAAGAGGGCGAAAGGAAGGGGGAGAAGGTAAGCTCTCCGAGCACCGATCCTCGGGTTTTCCCTACCCCAGGACCGAGCAGGCGCTCCCGGACACAGAACTGGCGGAATATGCGCGCTTCATCCGGAAAGCGCTGGGCCGGACGCGCGGCCGAGAGCTGGTGCCTTCTCTGGCAGAGATTTCAGCGTTGAGCCGACGACAGGAGCTGTTGTGCACCGTGCACTGTCCGGGGGCTGGTGCCTGCCCTGTGGCCATAGACTCTCACACCACAGCGGGGGAGGTAAGGCCAGAAAAGACCCCTGAAACCACAACCCTTCCCCCCCGACCCCGGCTTCCCATGCCTGGCTCTCCTGGTTCCCGGGTCCTAGGTTTGCCCAAGCCTGAGATTCATCATTTGAGTCAGGGATGTGTATGGAGGGACTGAGAAAGCTGAAAGAACCCTCCAGATGGCAAGACCCCTGCGCGGTCTGACCTTCCCCTCATGCCTTCTCCCATCCAGGTTGCTCGAGAGCTCGTGGGACGGCTGGGCTTGGCCCGTAGCCGGAACGCATTCGCGCTGTATGAGCAGCGAGGGGCCCAGGAGCGAGCCCTGGCTGGGAGCACTCTCGTGGCCGACGTGCTCACCAGGTTTGAGAAGTAAATGTCCAGCCCCAGCCCCGCTCTCCGTTAACCCATCAGCCTCTCACCTCTGGTCAATCCCTGAGCAAACTTTTATGAAGCCCTGGCCATTTGCCCTGCACGGTAACGTTTGCTGGTTCTCACATGGAGCCTGCCCTCGGGCAGTTTGCTGTTTGGCTTCAAGGCGTCCCAAACTTCTGGCTCCGCCCCCCCCCCCGTTTGGTCCCGCCTCCGGCCAGCGCCTAGGGGAGTCTCGCTTCTGCCTCGCACCGAGTCCTTATCTCTTCTTTAGTTTGGCAGCGGAGGAAGCCGGGCTGGATGATTCGACGGACTCTGGTTGGCGACTATGCCTGCGTCTTCACGGGCCTCTGCACCCTGAGGGGCTGTCCCCAGACGGTCACGAACTGCCTTTCCTCTTTGAGCAGGTGAGGCTCTCCAGCGTTCCCGCCCCGACCCCCCCAAATACTCGCGAGCCTGAACCCCTCCCTTTCTGGGCCGTCTCATTTCATAGTTATGGCAACCTCGCGGGAGGCTTTACTTGAACCCAGACCTCGGATTATGCACCCCGAGGTTTCTTCGCCGCCGCTCCCACGTTGACACCCACTGCCTCCTCTTAGGCTCACGCTCTGCTGCTCCGCGGCCGGCCGCCCCCGCCCGAAGACACCCTGCGCGCCCTGGCGGCGCTGCGTCTGCAGAGCCTGCACCGAGACTTCTCCCCCAGGGAGCCCCTGCCTCCCCTGGATCGCCTGCTGCCGCCCCCCGCCCCGCCACGTGAAGACCCTCCCCGCCCAGTCCCCAGGCCTCCTCCCTCCGCCGCCCTGCTGGCCGGGGCAATCTGGAGTCCGGGCCTGGCCAAGAGGCGGGCGGAGAGGACCCGGCGCGGCGGCGGGGCCGGCAGCACGGCGGGAAGCGTGGCCCGCGAGGGAGGAGGTGGCGCCGGCACGGCGGCCGCTGTGCTGGGCGGCTGGAAGCGGCTACGGGGCATGGGCCGAGCTGAGGCCATGGCTGCCTACCTGGCTCTGGCGGCGCAGTGTCCAGGGTTCGGCGCTGCTCGGTATGACGTTCTGGAGCTGAGCACGGTGAGGGGGAGAAGGGAGAGGGGACTCTGGCGGCCCAAGCCCTACACGTTTGCCCCAGAGCCACAAGCCCCACTGTGGGTCAAGTCACTCCTGACACCCAGCACAGCTGCTCCTCCCAAATCCCAGGAGTCACTCCCTGGCCCTTGGGTTCTCACCTCTCCAGAGCCTTAAGCCCCTCCATGCAATGTGGATCATAGAGGGTACTGGGAAACTCCCTGCTCACAGCCATCTCCCCCCACCAAAAATAATGCTGCAGGGTTCCCTCCTTCCACCCTGACTCTGCCTGTCTGTCCATAGGAGCCTGGTGGGGGCACTCCACAGAAGCTATGTCTGGGCTTGGGAGCCAAGGCCATGTCCCTCTCCCGGCCAGGTGAGACAGAGCCCATCCACTGTGTCAGCTATGGCCATGTGGCCGCCTGCCAACTGATGGGCCCCCACACCCTGGCACTGAGGGTGGGAGAGAGCCAGCTCCTCCTGCAGAGTCCCCAGGTGAGTAGAAAGAGGGTGTGGAAGGTGGAAGGAACGGAAAGGATGTCAAGAAACATTTTATTAAACACTGAGCATGGGGCAGGTACAGTTCTAGGCACTGGGGATCCACCTGTGATCAAAGAGAGGCTCAAGGAGCTGACATTAATTAGAGCAGGAGTGTCAGACACTGAATAAGGAATCAAAAACCATATAAGAAAGTGATAAACGCTACCAAGGGAAGCGTAGTGTGACAGGAAGTGACTGGAGGGGGGGGTCATAGCATTAGGTAGGACAGTCAGGAAAGGATACTCAAAGTGACCTTTAAGCTAGCCACAGGAAGATCTGGGGGAACAGCATTCCAGGTAGAAGATATTCCAAGTGTAAAGGCCTTGAGATGACAATCCACTTAGCATCTTTGAGAAGCAGAAAGACACCAGTGTGACTGGCACATAGTGAGTGAGGGAGAGAGCGGTGATGAGGAAGGAAAGGTCATAGGGGGCAGCTCTAGTAAGGCCCTGGTAAGGAGCCCGGGTGGAGGATGAGACAAAGGAGAACCCAGTGGCCCCTACTGCACTCTGACCTCTGCCTTCTCTTAGGTGGAAGAGATCATGCAGCTGGTGAATGCCTATTTGCCCAGTCCCTCCCCCGAGAGGCCCTGCCGCAGCCCTTCTCCTCCATGCCAAGACCTGCCAGACACCTCCCCTCCCAGCCAGCACCCGGGCCTGGACGAGCCCCAGGGACAGTCTGGCTGTTTGGGGCAGCTGCAGGACTGAGCCTGCCAAGAGGTCACGACCTCCCTTCTGCCTCCAGCCTGGACCTGGACTGTTCTGAGATTTGAGGGAACCGTGGACCCTTTTGGCCCTGCAGGGACAGGGCACACACCACACCCAAGGGCTGCAATGGGTGCAGACAATTTTCTAGTTTGTTTCTTAATTTATTTGTAGAAGAGAAGCAAAAAGAAAAAAAAAATCCTTATTTACACAAACCCTTCCTGTGGGAGTGTTGTCAGTGGGACAAGTTAGAGTCCCCAGAGCTCAGAGCTCCACCTCTGGGGACGCCCACACTGTGGGCTTTTACCAGCACTGAAGGGAGTCTGGACACCACAGGGCTCCACCCTCCTTGACCTTCTGGATTTAACCTCCTCTTCACCAGCATGCTGCCACAGGGTGGTGGGTGGGGCAGGCAAGAGGGTAGTTTTGGAGGCTGGCAATTACTCACCCTTGCTTCTCCATTGAGTGGCATAGGGGTGGCCTCCTGGCGTCTCTAAGGCCGGAAGGCAGTGAGTCATCAGGACTGGCACTACCCAGTTCCTACCCTGGTGTCCAGCTTCTGGGCCCTAGTTGGGTCCATCTTTTGTGTGCCTACTGCTTTGGGCCTGGAATGGAGAGAAGCCTGGGGCAGGATCAGACCCAAGAACTTCTCTGGCACAGATAATACCTTATCGGGATGGGCTCAGTCCTACTCCCGAGTTCTGTTCTTGCTTTATCAAGTTAGTTTGAATCGGGTTGCGTTCCTGAGGATCTGATAGCCTTGGGCACTGGGAATCTAGAGTTCTGGCTTTCCTGACCTGCTCAGAATGCTGCAGGCCCTCCTTCTCTAGCCCCCACAGCCTCTTCGCTAGCGGAAGAGGCTGGGGCAATATTGATCCACCCTGGGGCAGGAGCGTAGGCACTGAGGACATAGCAGACCTCAGTAAACCTCTGTAATCTTGAGAGTAGGGCTGACTCTAGTAAAGCAGCCTGGTTCTAGACAAGGTATGCCAGTGGAAATAGTGACCACACTAAGACCTGGACTAAGTGGACTAAGATAAAGGCCACATACCTGGGAACTGGGAGGGAGCATGGGTCATCCCCCATATTCACAGACCAAGCCCTGACTATATCCACAACCAAGCTCTGACTGTATTCACGACAAAGCTTTATTGCTTTATTCAAGCTAAATGAGCAATATCAAGGGTCAGGTCAGAGAAGGGTGGAAGTAGGACCAGCTCCTGGGCTGGAGATAAACCTAGAAAGGTTTTTGGTGACAAGAATCTGGGTCACAGGGACCAGGCACAATGGGGACTATGCATACTGTCCTGGGGAAGTGGTGGGGAGGAAGTCACTGCTCCTGGGCGCCCCAGGAGATGTAGTCTGGCCGTGTGGCTGCATGGTACTCATCGATGAGTTCCTGCACAACCTCCCTGGACGTGTCCAGCTCATCAAAGTTCTCCTTGAAGATGTCCTCCTTGCGGAACTGCTCCAGGAAGGCCTCCCGCTTCCGCAGCTTGTCATACTGCTGGCAGGAACTTTCAAAGAGCTGAAAGAGATAGAAATCTCCAGGATGGGAACCAGTGCATGATAAGGGGCTGGAATGGAATGGGGGAGAATGATAAGGGTGTCTACTGGAACTGAATGGCCAAAGAAGGCCAGGAGATTAGGCTCACCGAGGAGATGCTGGTGTGGTTGGCCATCATGAGCCCACTGACCCGGTGGGCCGAAGGCAGGTAGGGAGACTTCCTTGATAGGGCCACCTGGATGCTGGCAGGGCCCCAGGGGATGAAGTTGGCCAACTTCCGCTCCCGGATCCTCTGCAGACTCTTGTGGACCTAGCGGGGAGGGGTGGACACAACAGTGGTGGTGGTAGCCTCTCCTCTACCCCTGTGGGTTCCGGGGGTGGCACGAAGGGGCCTCACCTACCTGGGTGGGGTCCACCTCCCCCTGGATGATGTTGAGGATGGCGATGTAGCAATGGTTGGTCTGGCGATCCCGGCCCGTGGACACCATCACGTTCTTGGGCTGCAGCAGCCGCCTCATGACATCCAGGACCGTGGTCTTCCTCACGCTGGCCACCTGAGGGGAGAGCGGGCCACGGGGACCAGGCCAGCACTCAGGGCACGGTCCAATGGCTGACCCCCATCAGACTCAGGCTAGGATGGTCTCTCTGGGAGGCATCTTGAGATTCAGGTGTACACTGAGCCTTGGCTGCAGGACCAGGAATCTTAGCCCTCCTCAGCTCAGCAAGGTCATGCCCCTGTGCGGGAGCATCAGCAGACCCCACATAGCCCGGGCCCTACAGGGAGCCAGGGGTGTAGGGAAGAGGAGAACAAGTCAGCACGGAGCTGGACGGTCTGTGCCTGTCCCTGAGCACAGAGCCTCTGGGGCTACAAAGAGCGGCTCCTGGAGGGCGCAGCAGGGGGACAGAAAGGCTAGGGCAGGGCCTGCTGGGGCTGCTCCTACCGACTGGTCCGTGGTGAGCGGGGTGTAGCCGGTCATGAGGAAGTGGAGTCGAGGAGTGGGGATGAGCGAGGCGATGAGGCCGATGAGGTCGTTGTTCATGTAGCCAGGGTAGCGCAGGGTGGTGGTGCTGGCTGACATGATGGTGGACACCTGGGGACGGGGGTGCCGGGTCATGGGCCTTGGCCTGGGGCGGGGCCTCCCTTCCCCAGATGGCACTCCAGTAAGGAGGGTTTCCAGTCGGGGAGCAGGGGCTCACCAGCTGGTTGATCTGGGAGAAGGATGGGTTCTGGATGTGCAGGCGGTCTGTGGCGATCCGGTTCAGGGCTGTGTTGTCCAGTACCACCTGGGGGGACAGAAGAGGGTCACGGCACCTTTTTGAGGAGAAAGGGGGCAGAGAGATAAGTTATTAGCTTTACCCCCTCTAAATTCTAAAAACCAGGAAGTGTGTTAACTTAAAAAGGAAAATACTGTCCCTGGGGCATCACAAGATACTTTTCTACCATCCTGTAAACAAATTGTCTCCATGTGCCATCCACTGTGCCTGGTTCTGGAGACACCATGGAGGGTAAAACAGGCACGGTCTGTCCCCTTCACCAGGTCTACAGAAAAGTACAGTTACAGCCTGAAATATGCACAAAGGAATTTGACCTTGAATGCGTGGTCAGAGAAGGTTTTACTATGAAAGTGCCCCTTGGGCTGAGAATTTAAGCATGAGTAGGCATTAAATAGGCTAAATGGGGACACATGTCAGGGGTATTCACTTTGTTGAGAGCAACTTGGGGTCAAGTCCTTATTTCATAATTTGGGCCACCAGGTATGGCTTTATTTGGTCCTCTGTTCTCTGGGCAGGGGCTTGGGAAGGGCAGGGTGTACATGTCCCACTGGTTTGAGGAGGTGGAGCAAAGCACCCCCCCCCCCCACACACACACTTCTTTCTCTGGCACTCACCACACAGTCTGCGTTCTGGGTGAGCCTCTTGAGCGTGAGCAGGGAGTTGTAGGGCTGGACCACCACATCGCTCATCTCGTCCTGGTTGGGAAACACTGAGTATGTCTGCACCAGCTTCTTGGGATACCTGGGGGTGAAGAAGAGGGAAAGGGGAAAGTGACAATGAACTGGAAGGACTCCCATCACTGCCCACCTTGGTCTTCTCTAGAGATAATAGGGTCATTCCTTTCCAAGTGCCACCAAGCTCTTGTACAAAAGGCGGGTGAGGGCAGAACTGAGTGTTTAGAGCCCAGGAGCCAAAAAGGATAAACCTAAAGCATCAAACCCACCAAACCCTGTAGGTCCCTCCTCTCCCTAGGCAAATCCCCTCCTGGAAGTTACTGTTTCCTAGATGTTCCCTGGATGGCCAGGCTCTATTTCTACCAGTGACTCAAAGCAATAGTGCCAAGCCGTTCAGTCCAAGAGAAAAAAGTGACAAAAAGGAAAGACCTTACCCAGGGAACCAGGGCTAATGCCCTCTCCCCAAACACAGGGTTACCTGTCATTCAGTCGTTCCAGAAGGTAGGAACCCAGGCCAGAACCGGTCCCCCCAGCAATGGAATGACACAGCACAAAGCCCTGCATGGGGAGAGGCAGTCTCCAGGGATCTGGGGAAGAGGCTTTAGGCTTGTCTCATTCCCCACTCCCAACACACTCCTGTCTCAAGGCTGCTTCTGTGTCCATCCAGGCTGAGGCTCCTTGGGAAGGAAGACTCATGCCTAAGGAGCTGATGCCATCCACATTAGGATCTCCTTGAGGACAAGTACTGTACCTTTCTTTAAAAAATTTGTTTTTAAATATCTATTTTTGAGAGAGAGAGAGGCAGAGAGAGAGGGAGATCTGAAGCAGGCTCCTGGCTCTGAGCTGTCAGCACAGAGCCTGACATAGGTTTCGAACACATGAACCATGAGATCATGACCTGAGCTGAAGTAGGACACTCAATGACTGAGCCACCCAGGTGCCCCTGTACCTTTCTTTTTAAATGTTTTTTTTTAAATTTACTTATTTTGAGAGATAGCAAGTAGAGGAAGGGCAGGGAGAGAGAGAGAGAGAGAGAGAGGGAGAGAGAGAATCCCAAGCAGGCTCTGAGCTGTTAGTGCAGAGCCTGACTTGGGGCTCAATCTCACGAACCATGAGATCATAACCTGAGCAGATATCAAGTCAGTCGACTGAGCCACCCAGGAGCCTCTGTACCTTATTTACCTTAATATCTCACATATGATGCTCCAAAAATTAGTTTTAAATAGAATTGCCCCCATCACACCACCTGTTCGGGCTACCTCCCGACCTTTCCCCAAGCACTTATCAGCCTTTTCTTTTCCTTCAGTGGGGCTGAACCTCACCTCTAAGCTGTCACTTCCATCTGCTTCTCGGTCTATGATATCAAAAATGTCCTCATGGATTTTCTCACCCTGTATAGAGAGACATGGAAGTGAGGGTAAGGATGAAGGTTCTGGGGAGTACCTCTTTTCAGCACCAAGAACACCCCTTGGGACACTACTGCCACCCTCAAACAGAGCCTCAGCTGTGGCCCTCAACCCAAAAAAGCTACTTTTCAAATGATTTGCCGCTTGCATACACCTCTCCCTGGCTCTCCCTCTTGTCAGGGTATCCCTTTGTCTCTTATTTATTGTCTATCCGGTCTGGTCAAATCCCCAGGCTGCCTGAGCCTGCCTTGCCCTAGGGAGGGAACATCAAGGGTTTCTGGGATGGCCACCCAGATACCTGCGAGAATCCACTGGCCCAGTTGTTGCCAGCCCCTCCTCCATGCTCTGACAGGTAGATGTTCTCTGGGTTGTAGAGCTTGGCATAGGGGGAGTTGAGGATGGAGTGGATCACCCGGGGCTCCAGGTCCAGCAGCACGGCCCTGGGGATGTAGTGCTCATCGTCTGCCTGTCAAGGGGAGACCAGCAGGGTGGTCCAGTCAGCTAAGGCCCAGTCCTCCATCCTCCCAACTCTGGCTCCTGCCTGTCCTCCCTCCTCAAGCCAGCCGCCCTGACTCCTTTGCCCAGAGGGTTTCCTGGTACCAAGCCACTGCCCTTCCCTCAGGCCCCCCGGGGCCACTGTGGGGGCGCGGGGTGGGTGGGGGGGCTGGCAAAGTCGCTGGGAGCACCTGGTAGAAAAAGACGTCCTTGCGGTCAGTGCCCTCGGTGGCGAACTCCTCCACGATGCCCTCGGGGCTGATACCATGCTCAGCGCACAGTTGTTTCCAGAACTCGAACCCAACTGGGGGATGGGGAGAGATGTCTGGGTCTGCTAGTCATAAGGCCTCAGCAGCGCAGGGTTAGGCTCAGAGGCTGTCACACTCAGAGGCTGGGCCCAAGACACCTGGTCTGGGAGCTGTCACAGCCCAGGCGCGGCTCTCCATCGGGGCCTTGTTCATCATGCGCAATAGGGCAGGGGTTTCATGGGAGGGAAAGGGGGACTAGAGGATGCCAAGCACTTGGGTGGGACCCGAAGGGGCAGAACCGGAGACTGGAAGGGCCCGGCGCTCGCTCGCTCACTCTGGTTGCCGCACTGGCCCAGCTGCAGGGTGATGATCTCCCGGGGCATCGCTCTTCAGACGTGGGCGCGCCAGCCCTGCCCGGCGGGAGTCACGGCAGAGACGAACGCCTGGCAGCCGGGCTCGCAGGACGTGGGGAGCGCGCGTTCTCTTCGTCTTTTGACGCGAGTGCTCGGTCTGCGCGTGTGCAGTGCGGGCCTCCCCACTGCCGCCGGGCCGGGGAGCTCAACCTGGACATGATTTCCCCACTACAGTTACAGCTGGAATTCGGCACAGGCGCAGTGTGAGGCCACGCCCCCTCCTGCCCACCCACCCCAGCACCGCGCCTGCGCCGTGAAACTCTTTGGGGCTGCGGCGTAGCGACCCGAGCTTGGGGGCGGGGAGGGGCGGTCCAGGTGTATCGAGTCAGCTGCGTGCTACAGACGGGTGAGCGGCTTGGCGGCTCTTCTGGATAGAGGGGCTGGCTTCAAGCCAGTCTTTTTTTCAATTTCTATTTTTAAGTTAAATATACCTAACATAACATTTACCATTTTAATCCTCTTTAATCGGACAGTTCTGTGGCATAATGTACATTCACACCGTTGCGCAACCATCACTGTCATTCATCCCCAGAACTTCGTCACCTTCCCAACCGAACCCTGTACCATAAATAATAACTCTCCATCTCCATCCCCATCAACATCCTACTTCCTGTCTCTATGACTTTGGCCAGGTATCTTATATAAATGGAATTGCATAGTATTTGTCCTTTTGTGTCTACCTTATTTCACTGCATAATGTCCTCAAGGTTACTCCCATGTTGTAACATGTGCCAGAATTTCATTTCTTTTTAAGGATGTATAATATTCCGTTGTATGTTTATGCCACATTTTGCGTTTATCTATTCATCTGTAGATGGACGCTGGGGTTGGCTGTTGTGAATAATTATGCCATGAACATGGGTGTGTACAAATAAGTTTGAGTCCCTGCTTTCAATTATTCTGGGTATACACCCAGAAGCAGAATTGCTGGATCATATGGTAATTCTATGTTTAATTTTTTGAGGAATTGCTGTGCCATTTTCTTTCTTTTGTATTTTAACTTATTTTGAGAGAGAAAGAGAGAGAGAGAATGCATGCATGAGAGGGGCAGAGAGAGAGAGAGAGAGAGAGAGAGAGAGAGAGAGAGAGGGAGAGAGAATCCCAACCAGGCTCCTCACCATCCACGCAGAGCCCAATGCAGGACTCAAACCCATGAACCCAGAGATCATGACCTGAGTCAAAACCAAGAGTCAGATGATAACCGACTGAGCCACCCAGGCGCCCTGGTACCATTTTCTATTGTGGCAGCACTATTTTACATTCCTACCTGTAATGCACAGGGGTTCCAATTTTTCCACATCCTCACCAACACTTGTTACGTTCTTTGTTTTGTTTTGTTTTGTTTTTTAATAATAGCCATCTTAATGAGTGTGAAGTGGTATCTCATTGTGGTTTCTGTTTTATTTTAAATTACAAAGTTTTAAACATACAAGCATGATTCTGTACTTTTATTATATATTTTTTTGTTTTGAAATTTTCTATAAATGGTATTAGAGTATATATACTATACTTTTGTAACCTGCTTTTTTCACCTACATTATATTTTTGTGATTTAGCAATGCTGATGCATGTAGATTTATTTCATTCTTTTTAACTGCTTTATAGTGTTTCATTGGATGAATACACTAGTTTATACTATTTCCACACAAGGGTGATTAGATTGTTTCTACTTATCCCCTGTTACATAGAGTGAATACAGGATTTGTCACTTGTGAACGTGAAGGAGAATATCTCTACCACTGGCATGTGCATCTTCTTTAGAAGGTTTACAAACTTTACAAGGTTTCACATGTTTTTTCCTAGATGGTTGTACACCCTTACCAGCGATGGAGTTTTCATTTCCTTAAACCTGCATCCACACTTGGATTGTCAGATCTTAATTTTTGTCCATCCCATGGATGCCCAGGGGGATCTCATGGTTATAATTTCCAGTTATGATCACAAGTGAAGTTCATCTGATTTGTTGTTGTTGCTGTTGTTAGTACCTTGAGAATTGCCTGTTCATATCTTTTGCCCATTTTTCTATTGGTCTATTTCTTTTGGACATAATAAGATACTCCACAGATTTTTTTCCTGGTTGTATGGGTTGCAAATATTGTCTCTTGGTCTATGGCTTGTCTTTATACTTTGCATGTGGTGTCTTTTGGCCTAGAGAAGATTTTAATGTAGACAGTTATCCTTATTTTCCTTTCTGTTTTGTGTGTTTTATACCTTGTTAAAGATAGCATCCCTTTCCCAGTATCATAAAGCTGTCCTTTTATGTTTTCTTCCAGAAGCCCCATAGTAGTTTTGCTTGTTCCCCGTGTTGTGTGCTGACTTGTTATGATTTCAAATCCATGTTTTGAAAGCTTGTTTTGGACAAAGTTGTTTGTGGTTTGAACTTGTTTTCATGAAATTGTTTTGAAGTTGGATATTAGAACTTTTTTTATCGAACTCTAGCACCTGGAGTGATGAGGGCCATTACATCATCAACACCATAGTAACGGCCATGGTGTCCATCACGTGGTATACTTTTAAACTTTAAAAATTAAGAGGAATGGGTATTGAGGAGGGCACCTTTTGGGATGAGCACTGGGTGTTGTATGGAAACCAATTTGACAATAAACTTCATGTACTGAAAAAAATAATAAAAAATAAAATAAAATAAAATAAAATAAAATAAAATAAAATAAAAATTAAGAGGAATGACCAGCAACTCGAAAGCATTTGGTCTGGACAAGGCTACTCTTTGATGATCTAATAGCTCTCTGGGGATCTTGAGACACTTACTCGGACTGTGGCTGCCATGGCAAGGCTACCTTGGTGTTAGCAGTGGTGTTAAACCATGCAGCAGTCTCAGGAAGAGAAGGGACATCTGCTTCTGCCTTAGTGAGGCTACTCCTCATAGGCAGTGGTCCAAGCTGTGTAGCGGTCCCTGCAGTAATAATCTTCAGAGCAGCCTACCTTGCCTGCCAACACTGGCTCCGTCTCCCACCAGCTAAGTGCCCCAGCAGTGAGGGTCCTAAGCAGGCAGCTAATACCCAGCTTTTAGTTGGAAGGACTGACACTCCCAAGAACCAACTTGTAGAAAGGTACACCTCAGCTAATATTGGACTTTATTTATTCCATCTCCCTTTTACCTGGAACAATAATGTAATTAATCTATCATTGATTTGGAGCATGTTATTTCTTTATTGGCATATTAAGAGACATCATCCTGTATGCTGTTGGCTTGTGAAATATTATTATTATAAATTGTAATTCTTACAGTGAACCTGTGTTAAATAAATTATTGGCAAGGACAAACTTAGTCTCTGAGCATAATTTGCCCCGAACAAAACACTCTGTAGGTCTTTAGTTCATCTGGAACCTATTTGGAGGCCTGCTGTAAGATAGGGATCCACTTTATCTTTTCCATATGGATGGCCAGTGGTCTCCCAGCCAATTATTGAAGAGTGGGTGCGGTGCCCCCCAGCGCCAGCACATTCCAAACCCCCACTCTGATGCAGGCTGGCTTCTGGCTGCTCTTCTGCTCCATTGGGCTGTCTGTCTGTCCCTGTCTGGAGGGCTTTCTCTGGGAGCTGCTGCAGAGGCTCTGGCAGAGGCACCACTGGCAAGAGTCATGCTCAGACAAAGGTTTTTGTATTCTTTTCTCTATCACTTTCTCTTTTTTTTTTTATGAGAACTCAGCCACCTTCCAAGGCTGGCCTCCATGAATCCTCTGGGCTTCTTTAGAAGTCTCTGGCTTGCCCCATGCCTGTCCCCTCCCAAGCCTCTGCTCAGTTTCCCTCCCCTCACCCTACCCCAGTCCCCCAGCCTGCTTCCTCCATTTGGGCCAGGCTGTTAGGGATGTCCCTCAAGAGGACTGGCAGCCTCGCCTTTTCAGGGAGGGTCTGGGTGCTCCCCTTGAAGTTTGAGGTAGGGTCAGAGCTCCTCCTTGGGGCTCCCTTCCCCTGACAGAACTGCTCCTAAGGGCTGGCTGTCTTCGGAGGCTTCACTAGGCCCCTCTCTGAGTGCCCAGGTGAAGAGGGAGGCTTTAGAGATGAGAGTAAACTTGCCAGGCCTCCCCTCCTTGTGAGTCTGGAATGGCTGTTTGCTTCCTTTAAAATAATAAGCTGGAAGCAGTTTATGAACTCTTGTGAAATGAGGGAGTTTAATTTCAACCTTTTCTGAGGATTAATAATAGTGCCTTGCTCCTCCTTCTGGTCTCCCAGAAGTGGGAAAACTTCCTTCAAATCCTAGTTTATAGACAAACAGGTTAGAACGTGTGAATTGATCTGAATTGGAGAAATTGCAAGGTAAGTTTCCTCGGAGAAGCCATCTCTGACAAGCTGGGGGCTCCTCCTCACCTGTAGAAATGGGTTGGAGATGTGCTTATGTATAGAGCTCAATGTAAATCCCCCCAGTTATTAACAGGTTATGCTTTCCATTTCTGCTGAGAACTGACCAGTCCATGTTGGTTCAATGAGGTGATACATCAGCACCTAGCACAGTGCCAGACTCATAGAAAACCTTCAACACATACTAGCCACTGTTGTGGTTACTGCTAGATGCAGTGGGAACTGAAGTATAATTTGGCTGTTGCTACAGATGAAAGATCTTTTTCAGGGTAAAAAAAAATAAGTGGTTCCTTTGAATAAACTGCAAAAAATTAAAACCTCATATTATTTGGCATGATCCTACAGGTTCGGTTTCAGACCTACCTTCTATTGAGCAACAGGACTAGGTTCATGGTCTCTTTCATGGGTTTCAGATCCAGGGGCTCGAGGTCATTACCCAGAGATTGATTATTGAGTGCTGAGTTCAATTTGCTTGGCTCCGTGTTCTCTGATCCAGGTTATGATAATGTCGTGGGGTTGTGGCATTCCTTTGTCTGAGGCTTTGGTCTGCCTCTGATAATAAATGCAGCATTCGTAAACTAACAAGTTTGTTAAATGTCCTAAGCCTTTATTTGATATTCCAGGTTGAGTGAAATATTTTGGCTGCACCTT